CTCTTTTATTAATTCTGTGGTTTTGGTAGATTCCTTGGATTTTTTTCCATGTAGATCACATCATCTACAGATAATGTATTTCTTCCTTTCCAACCTGTATGTTTTTATTTTTTCTCATCTTACTCCATTTTCCAGGACCTAAAGTAGGTCTAATAGGACTGGTATGAGTGGACACCCTTCTTTTATTGCTGATTCTAGGGGAAGCATTTAGTCTTTTCACCATTAAGTACTATATTAGCTGTAGGATTTCACTGAGGAGTTGAGTTTTATTTTGCTGAGAGTTATCATCATGAATGGATATTGACTTTTTAAATTCTCTTTCTGCATCCTTTGAGATGGTCACAGTTATTCATTTTCTTAGTTTATTAACAAAATAAATTATTTGAAATGTTGGACAAACCTTKTATGACTAGATGAATAATCCACACTTGGTAATGATCATGATATGTTCCCCTTTTTATAGTTACTGGATTGGGTGTTTGTTAATGTTTTAAGGGTTATTGTCTGATTTATGAAGAATGTTAACTTGCAATTTCTTGTTTCATAATATTTTTGGTGGCTTTGGTGTCATAGAACGAGCTGGGAAGTAGTACCCCTCCTTACTTTTTTGGAAAAGTYTGTGTAGAATTGATAAAAATTTCTCCCTTGAGTGTTTGAAACATGCACCAATGGAGCCACCTTGGCCTAAGGCTTGCCTCATTGGGAAGATTCTGAACTATGAGGTTCAATTTATATGAGGTTGTCAGTTTCTTTGTTAGGGAGCTTTAAAGAAATTTGCCCATTTTTGTGCAAATGTATAGATGTGAAATTGTTCAGAATATTCCTTTACTATTTTTAAAATTTCCATGTGGTCTGTAATGATCCCTTCCCCCTTAATCCTTATATCAGTTGTTTGACATTGTTAAAATTATATATACATACCAATACACTCATATGTATATGTATATATTAGTTGTAGATGGACAGAATGCCTTTATTTAATTTATTTATTTTTATGTGGTGCTGAGGACTGAGACCAGGGCCTCACAGGTGCTAAGCAAGCACTCTACCACTGAGCCACAACATTAGCCCAAGTTGTTTGACTTTTGTCTCTCATTTTTTTTCCCTTGTTATGACTGACTAAAGGTTTATCAATATTATTGATCTTTTTGAAGAACCACATTTTGTTTTAATCAGTTTTCTATTTTTCTTTCATTAATATTACTCCTGGCCTATTATTTTTTTCATTCTTTCTGCTAGTAGATCCACTTTTAGCTGCAGTCCACAATTTTTGATATGTTGTCTTTTATTCTGTTCAGAGTATTTTATAATCACCCTTATGTTTCATTCTTTGGCTCATGGATTGTTTACATGTGTTCTTAAATTTCCAAATATTTGGGGTATTTTCCAGATAGCTTCTTGTTAATGATTATTAAATAAGAAATCATACTTTGTATAAATTAATTTTTAAATTTTTGTTTCAGAAAATATTTGCTCTTGTTCTTGTTCCACATGCATTTGAATAGTTCTGCTGCTGCTAGAGTGTTCTGTGAGTGTCAGTTAGGTCACCTTGGTGTCCCTGTGCTCTGCATCCTTCCTGATGCTTCTGTCTAGTTGAGTTACTGAAAGGAATGTTGAATTTCCAAATGTAATTCTGGACTGGTATATTCTTTTAGTTCCTGCTTCTTGTATCTTGGGTTCTGTTATTAGAATATCTACCGGTTCAGCAAAGTTACTTCTTTTTTTTGTTGAATTTTTTTATCATCACCATCATCTTGCTCTTCATTGCTACTAATATCCTTTGTTCTATTTCCTTTCTGTTATTTGCAACTCTTACTCCCTTTTTTCCTCTTGGACTAATTGAATATTTTTTTATGGTTCATTTTACCTCCTGTTGGTTTATTATCTGTATCTTTTTGTTTTCACAGTTTTTCATGAGATGCTTCTAGTGTTTGCAACGTCTACTTTCAACTTTTCAACCTCTGCTTTCAAAGACTATCCTGCCACTTCACATGTAGTGTGAGGAACTTAAAATAGGACACCTGGAACTCCACCTCTTTTGGTTCCCTTGTAGTCTTATACTTTGCTCCTGTATTATAAACGTTACCATGTGTTTTTGCTTTAAGTGGTTTATACACACACACACACACACACACACACATTTATTTATTCATTCAGAGGCAGTACTGGGGTTTGAACCCAGGGCCTTATACATGCTAGGCAAGCACTCTGTTACTGAGCTACATCTCCAGGCCCCACCTCCACCTTAAAATTTTATTTTGAGACAGAGTCTTGTTAAGTTGCTGAGCTTAATGATCTTCCTGTCTCAGCCTCCTGAGTAGCTATGATTACAGGCATGTGCCACCACGTGCATCACACAGCAGTTTGATAGAAGAGCTTTACTAGGTGGTTCAGGTGGTGTGTTAAGCAGAGCTTGACTAGCAGGTGAGCATCACACCAGTAATTAAACTGACATATCCTAACACAAGGAAAAAGTAATAAGAGACAGGAATCAGCTACCCAGACCTGTACAGTGAGCCCTAAAGATCAGTTAAGGCAGATCTAGGGAGCAACCATGAGCTTTGGGACTGAGGGAAAGGACTCAGGAAAGAACAAATTTAGAGGAGGCCCCTCCTTGGAGAGCATGGTTGCAGCTGACTGGGTGCCAAGAGAAGCTCYCTGAGGTACTGGGTGATGATGCAACTTGCTGGACAGCACCTGTCACCAAGTCCTCTCACACCAAGAACAGAGCTGCCTGATGATAGGACCAAGAGGAGAAACACTGGAGGTCTGTCACCTCCAGTGCCTTCTGCCCGTGTTTTGTCTGCTGTGAGTGGAGAAATGGGTTCCTTCAATACAGAGCTTGGCAAGGAGGGTGGGTTTGGAGCTGAGAGGCAAAAGGAACTATTGGTAGCTGGCTCTTTCAACTTCCATGAGTAGGGAATCTCTCTGCTGAGGTCTGACTTATAGAACTCCATTAGAAACTGTGCAGAGATCAGTGGATGAGTGCTCCAGGCAAAGGGAACAGTGCAATAGCATAAACACAGAGGTCTGTCTAGGCAGCCTTGAAGCTGTGGTAAGAAAGTGAGTTCATTCTGGAGGACAACACAGCAGGGTTTATGCTAGGGACTACATGAGCTCACTCTGGCTGGGCTTGACAACAGATCACAGTGGGAAGGGTAGATATCAGGGGCCAATAGAGAGCCCTGCAGTTTCCAGGCAGGAGGTAACTGTGACCTATCTTGGGCTTGAAGCAGTAGGGAAAGAAGAACAGGTGGGGGTTTGGGATTGTTAGCTTGAGGTGGAGCAGTTAGTATGGCCTGAGGAGAAGAGGAAGCCTGTGTGTTGAAGGCTCTGACCTGCTGTTTTGTAGAAATAGCTTCTCTTTCCATTGCCATCCTTAARCTGTCCTGCCTGCTTGTCCTCCCTTCCCATGATGACATCACTCAGGCCACACTTYCCTTCTAGCCCCTTCTAGTGTTGGAATTGTCTCCTTTTCAAGTATTCAAGCCCAGTTCGCTGAAAACCCCAACTCTTAATAATTCAGAGCTCTTCCCACAGCTGTAGGAAGTGAAGTCAGAGGTCACCAGGGTAAAGGGCAGTGGTGTGTGTCCAGTATCTTTCTGCCTTTCTTATGCTGGCTTTAGGRTGGAGAAAGGGCTCTGGGAAGGAGGAGTTGGGGGTCTTTGTCCTCTGCCAGGCTGTCTGTGGCTGTCTTTGGCTGACTGGGGCTTGTTAGCCTAACATGTTGCTGGTCYTTGCTTGGAAGACGCTGTCCTAGTGTTTGGGTCTGTTACAGCAGAGTGCTGTAGGCTGGTTCATAAGCAGCATGCATCTGTTTCTCAGAGTCTGGAGGCTGGGAGTCCTAGGCCCATGCCTTGGTTTGTTGTTGGCAYCTCCTCAACCTGAAGCACCCATTTTGTGTGGGGTCGTTCATGACCACACAGCTTCTGCTCTCCCCTCTGGTGCACAGTTCTGGCTCCCTCTGCCTGCTGTGGGAGTAGGGGATAGGCTTTCCAGACTTTTACACTTCAAAAATCTCATATCACTGTCTATGTGCCAAACCCCTGAGACATAATAGGCTCTTGGAGGAGTTTTCTGCTCCTCTGCTGGGTGGTGATGTGAATACTGTGTGCACAAACTGACCAAGCACAGTCTAGGCTGACATCCAGTCTCTGGGAAGGCTGCTCCCTGTGCTGCAGGAGGGAAGGGTGCAGCTCTCTGCACTCAAAAGGGTTCCCTATAGGAGTCTGTCTGGGAGCTCTGTGCTACTTCTCCCCAGGCTGTTGGGGTGCATTGGAACTGGCTGCCCCAGTTGTGAGCCCTGTTTGGGATTCTCTTGTGCCCTGGTCCATCTTARCAGCATCTTTCTCAGTGCTAGCTCGGTGGGTAATTAGAAGGGAGAAGGGGAAGGGGTCAGGATGTGTTTCTGTTCTCTATGGCAGTGGTCAGTGAAGTCCTTTCCCTCCGTGGGAAAAAGTATGGGCTGCGYACTCACCACAGGAGGGCTCTCAGCCTGAGGCTGGTGGCACAGGGAGGCTGGCTCTGGGCCTCATCTGTCATCTTTGCTCAGAGCCTCCTTTTCCTTGGTCAGAACAGGCAGTGCAGGTTATGGACCCCTGGGACAGGGATGCTGCAGACTGGCCCAGACTTCTACCAAGTGACTTGACCTGGTTGTCAAGACCTCCGGTGACTTGACTATGGGTGCTCCAGGTCCTGGAGATGCCTGCAGGGGTGGTTGTCACACATGCCRATGAGGACACTGGGAACAGAATGCTTCTTTTATAAAGAATAAAATACATGTATTGGGTGTCCATGTGATGATGGAGGTTTAAAAAAAAAAGAAGAAGAAACCAACAACATCAAAAACACTGGTTCCAAATAAAATTCTTGATAGAAAAAGTTGCCTGTGTAATGTCAGTTGAGACATTTTCTTTTTGATGTCTGTTTTAAAATTTTTCTAGGAGGCATATTTTTGAAGAGTTTGAACATAACTGGTCTGTTATATTCTGTTTTTAAAGCAGGGCCAAGATTTTCTTCTTCACTCACCACTGGGGGGCTCTCAGCCTGAGGCTGGTGGCACAGGGAGGCTGGCTCTGGGCACACAGACACTGCCCTCTACAGGGTTGGGCGCCACACCCTCGGAGGCTGCCTGCTCCTGCGAAGCCTGCAGTGAGCGCAGGTATGTGCAGAGTGGGCCACACTGTCCAGGAGTGTGTTGGGCCAGAACAGGAATGTGGGCTCTTTTGATAAATAGTGACAAACTTTTGCGTTGATCCTGAGGAACACAGTGGCCTGGTTGTTAAGGGAAAGCACAAGGTAAAAATTCCTGTCCTTGAAGGACTAACACTAGGAAACTAGTCCTCAGAAAGGTTGGGGCATAGTCACTAGATTTTAAGAGGAGCATCAATAGCCAGGCAGTGGTGGTGGGGAGGCTGGCATTGGTGGAGGGGAGGAGAGGCCAGGAGCATATCTGAAAGGGCTCTGCCCAGGGAAGAATCCAGCAGGTGGCAAAGGTGCAGAGACTCCACAGGGATCAGAACTGCTTGATGTGCACCTTGATGGAAGAGCTCTGGTAGACACCCCAACTCTTCTGGTTCCTGTGTTGTGTCACAGAGAAATTTCGGCAGAGATGGATCGGGAACCTCAACAGCTGCAGAACTACTGGTCAGAAGTGCGCTACATGGTCCGCTGCATCTACCGCCAGGCGGGGACACCACTGGCAGACGACCAGGACCAGTCTCTGGTACCCGACAAGGAGGGAGTGAAGGAGCTCGTGGATAGGTACAAGTTGCCCCTTCTTGTCATGTCCCTGTGTAAATCCCTGCCCTCCTCAGCTTCCTATGGAGCCTCTGTGCCTGGGTGAGCTTTCACTTGGGTCCTGAGGAATGCTCAGCTGGGCTTGCCTGGTCAGGTCTTTAGCAGACAGCTGATCATAGTGAGCCCTCTGGGTAAAATGTTGCAAATTCTCCTGATTCCTAATGAGACATGAAATGTTTCTGTCAATTCTTTGTGTCAAAACTGACAATAATACCTACCTGCCTGCCTGAGTCCCTGCTCTGCCAGGGAGATGCTAAGTACTTTCATAAGCACTCTTGCATTTATCATCCAGGGAGAAAGGCTGAGCTCTCTCCCACTTATTGAGGTGCCATGAGGCCAACAGCTCATGAAGGTGATTGCCTGCAGCATGTGGGTACAGGGTAGCTGGGGCCAGTCTTGGCTGTGCAGCTGCCTCATTCAGCTGGCTTGAATCTGCTGTTCAGCACCTACCTTATGCCCAGTAACTTACAGAAGGTGAGATGGGCATCACTTCTTTCTTGTTTGAAAGTGCCATCTTTTCCTGATTTTTGAAATGTTCCAAATAAAAAGCAATACATTTGAGCTAGACATTTCATGGATCRTTTCTCATTTTTATTTCTTTCTCTCTTGCATTTTGAATGTATGCTTTAGGGTTCTTGTTGATTCATGTTTGCTGTCTAGCAGGTTTCATCCTGGAAGCAGGGTTAGTGAGTGGTGATGGTCATGCTGACGTGTTCAGGGTTCCACATCTGAGCCACTGGTATCATGTGAGATGGTTCGGGAGGTGTGTGCCTTTTTTAGAAGTCAGGTTTCCTAGTGAGTATTAGGAAAAAATATGGAACCTTTATGTCAGATCCGTGTCTTCACAGATTGTTCATGCTGTATCTTTGATACCTTAGAGTAGCATCCTGCACACAGTATACTACAGTTTGTTGGGTGTATGTATGAGTGGATGAATGAATGGACTATAGCGTCTTCACATATTCTGCCTCTTTTTTCACATAAATTTTACGAAACCTGTTTGCAAAAAGTACCACATGGTTATTTCCTTAAATTTATAAAATGCAGAAATGGACAAGGAAATAAAGTACGTCTAATCTGACCATGCTGGGAGAACTAAGAAGGAGATATCCAGTCTACTTGTGAGTTTAGTTGTTCCTGTGTCATTTGAATCTTATGTGGCTTTGCTTTAATAAATGAAATACATTCTGTTTCGGGGGGGATAGTTTCTTATGCTCATAATTTAAATTAGAATTATCATGCTACAAAAATTAATTGGTCCGTTTGAAATATACCAACAATAGTGGGAGTCCTTTGAATTTGTGCAACTTTAACCACATTTTATACAAGGCTTTCCTTGTCTCTTGTCTTTTACAACCTAGGTAGTATGGGAATTTCAAAATGGAACAGGTGATATCTTATAATGTTCTCTTTTGACATAATGTGCTAAAAGGTGAAAGAATCTACTGCTGAATACATTTTACAACTCATTTCTAATAGGTGCTGAGCTCAGCTGGTTTCTCCTTTGACATATTACCGACAGTCAGTTTGATTCTTGCAGCAGTGGTCCCAGGCTTCCATCTAGAGGCATCTCAAAAGTGCACAGTTAATAGAAGTGGCATCTTAATCACAGTGATGCCAGACACTGTAAACAAGTCTTAAAAGTGGGTTATCTCCATGTTTGAAAGGAGATTCATAACAGTGTTCGTTGCTGTTGTGGCTAGTGGTGGCCATGGATTTTCCCCTGCTCTTAACTTACTAACAGTATTTCATACATATGTATTGCTTTATCTCCCCTTTCTCCCCCTGGGGTAGATGTTGATTGCAGGGTCTTGTGGACTATTATGGAGCTACACCCCAGCCTGCCCCCTTTTTCTTTAAGTACTTAAAAATTCTTAAGACAAAGTCTCACTAAATTGTTGAGGCTGACCTTAAACTTGTGGTCTTCCCGCCTCACTGGGATTACAGGCTTGTGCCACCATACTTGGCTATTGCTTTTTTGTTGGGATAATTTTAAAATAGGATAAACTCTCTAAATTTTCCTCTGATTTTAAAAATAGCAAACATTTTGCTTATACCCTGAGTTTCTAGAAGGAAGGAAAATGCCCAGTCCTGTAGCCTGGTATCACCTTTGTTGGGTTAGGTGCCTCAGACCCACCTTTTGTTAATAATCGCAAGTTGATTTTGTTTCTGGGGCAAGCTCTGAAGCAGGTCATGCGCCCTGTCACCTGCTGGTTGTTGGTGTTCAGACACTGTCCCCAGCTTGGGTGGCTTTGATGGTCTGGACAGTGGAACATGAAGCAGAGCTCCTATGTGTGGGTTGGCCAAGTGAGTACAAGTGCATAAACAGTGCTAAGGAAATGTCAGTTTTTCTGTTTGTTCTTTGGCAACATTGTATCTGGGTTCTTCATCTGTTAAGGCATGTGATGGTGCCTTTCATAGGTCCTGGTGAGGAAGAAGACCACTGCGGTTGACAGGTAGATACGTATGGAAAGGCTTTAGAAAAGATGCTCACTGATATGAAAACTGTTCCATCCTTGTCTGGTGTGGACAGGTGAGGGCTAAGTGTGACTCTCTCTGTGCAGGCTCTGTGAGCGGGACCCCTACCAGCTATACCAACGGTTGGAGCAGCAAGCCCGGGAGTATGTGCTAGAGATGAAGGTCCGCCTKCTTCGGCAGTTGTCAGCTGCAGCAAAGACAAAGGCGCCATCTGGCCTGCAGGGCCCACCTCAGGCACACCACTTCATTTCGCTTCTCCTCGAGGAGTATGGCGCTCTCTGCCAGGCCGCACGCTCCATCAGCACTTTCCTCAGCACTCTGGTAAGAGATGGCACTCCCTTTTCTGTGAGGTTGCTGAGAAGGTGAACTAAAGAGAAGAAGTATGTGGTGAAAAGAAGTGCCTGAGGCTGAGGGGCTGACTGCCACAGGCCACTCCACAAGGTCAGCAAGGGCTAGGATTAGGGTTAGTCCTCTGACTTTGCCACTAAATAGAAGCATTGAGTGGATTGGTGTCCTGGTGACAAAGCGTGGAAGTACTATTTGGGGAGACCTGAGGCAAAGAAGCAAGTCATGGGGATATATGCTGCATGAGGACCAGCTGGGCATTAACAAGGAGATGAAGGGGAGTCTTTAGTATTCTGGGTTAATGCTGTTGAGACTTCAACAGCTAGTGCTGTGTTTGATGGGTGTACTTGAGGGTGTGAGGGTTATAGAGAGCAGCCTGTGTGCAACGAGAACTTCCATTTTTCCACACACACATRTATTGCCCTCAGCCGAGCACCCAGCAAGGACAGGCTTAGGAACTTGAGTAAGATGCCCACTCCTGCAGGGACCATACAGCTCTAGTAAAGGGCACAAGTGACCACCTCAGAAAGTAAATGCCACTGAATTGAAGGAGGCATGAAGTGGAAATGTGGTCACTGTGGCTCGAAGGAGACGGGGCTCCCCAGTGACCAGCCATGGCAGCTTCAGCCACTCACTAGTCATTCTGGAGTGTCTTTCCTCAGCACTTTGATGATTAGGTGATACTTCAGCAAGCTAGTTTTGGTGCTGCTTAGTGGTGAAACTACATTCTGAAATCWTTGGTTCTCAAGATTTTAAGCAGCCTTTATCTGATTCTAAAGTTGATGAACCTTGCCAGAAAAACTCACCTATACAACACTTGGTAAGTCACTGCCGGAGTTGTAGACCTCTCTCAGCTCCCCTGCATCATACCACTGCTATACTTGTAAGGACTGCCTGGAGGAGGCATCTGTTGTCACTGGAGCTGGCCAGGTGAATAYGGCAGGAGGGGCATAGTAATCCTACCTCCAGACCTAAGGGCTCCAAGGACAGCCTGCCTGCTTCTCCCACCTCCACTTAGAGAGCCTGCTTGTCCTTCAGAGGTTCAGTTCCAGACCTGGCGCCTCTGAGGAGCACCTTGCACCTTCCCCTATCTTCTCACTGAGAGAATGTTGGCACAGGTTAAGATACTGTCCTTCTTGCCTAAGCCTGGTGCAGACTCTCTGAGAGAGCATGCTCTCCAGAAAGTGCTGCCAGCATCCTGGCCTTCCTTGGGTAGTCAAAGTAGAACAGTGTTGTGTGAAGCCAACAAAAATTAATTTGAACCAGAGCTCTATTTTATTTTCTCTCTATATATGAGATACAGCATATAGTATACCCTGAACCATTCCTCCCAAGGGAAACAAGTGCATTTAATGGTTAATAGAAAATATGATAAGTTTTTTTAAAGACATAGGACTAAGATGTCATGAGATGTCAAGAGAAGTCGTAGTGGTAAAAAAAATCAGTTGAAACCTGGATTCCTGAGAAATACATGTGCTTAGATGTCAACATTTGCTCTATGGTTTTCCTTTCATCCCAAGAAAGATATAGCATCAGTCTTGCCCAGGATGGGATTGGCTAATAATAATAATAAGGGCAGGCTTTCCATCATTACAACCTCAGTGAGAGTGTGAAGGACAAACTCCAGGGACTGGAAGGGATGCAAGAATGTTTCCATCATGACCTTGGAGTGGATATAGCAGAGAAGTACCATCTCCCAGAGAATTTTTAACTAAAAACCATTACACATTTAGGTTTAGCAGGATAAGCCCCTGCTGTTGGTGTGGTGCAGATAGCTCAAGCCTGGAAGTTAGGCTGCAGAGGTCCAAGGCTTTTGGCAAAGTCAAGGAGCATGCATCTCTAGAGGCTTGGCCTTCTGGGCCCACCTCAAAGAATTGGCATAGCATTCTTTTATACTGTACTGCTTTAGACAATGCTCTCAAAATCTCCTTCTTGGAGATTTCCATTATAAGCAGCTCATAAATTTCTTTTTATTCTTCTTTCTCTTTTTTGGCTTTCGTAGGGGGTAGTATAGTGATACTGAAGCAGCTCATAGTTTAAAAAAAACAAAACAAAACCATAAAACACATGGTTCAAGATAGCACAACTGAGAACCAGCAGAAACAGCAAGCAGGATTATATACCAAAGATGTTTACATTTCAAAGAATATAACTGTTAACTGTACAGATATAAAAACATTTGAAAAWTTTTTAAAAGTATTTGTTTTTTAGTTGTACTTGGATACAATACCTTTGTTTTATTTGTTTATTTTTATATGGCGCTGAGGATTGAACCCCAGGGCTTCACACTCAATAGATGAGCACCCTACCACAGAGCCACAACCCCAGCCCCAAACATTTGAAATTTTGAATTAAGGCTCTAAAGAAGGATCATCCAGGGGCTGGGGTTGTGGCTCAGTGGTAGAGTGCTTGCCTTGCACATGAGAGACCCTGTGTTCGATACTCAGCACCACATAAAAATAAATAAATAAAATAAAGATATTGTGTCCATGTATWACTAAAAAAATATTTTAAAAAGTAAAATAAAGAAGGATCATCCAGTCTTGGGGTGGGGGGGAAACAAAATTAAAAATAAAAAGGCATAATTTAAAAAAGTTTAATGGATAGATTAAACAAACTAAGAAGCTGAAAAGGGAATTTCTGGATTGGAAAGAGGTAAAGGAATTCTACAGGATGTAGCTCAAAGGAAAAAAGAATTGGGACATATAGAGAGCTTAAGGATACAGGGAGCTAGGTATGGTGGCACTTGCCTGTATTCCCAGCAGCTTGGGAGGCTGAGATAGGAGGATCATGAGTTCAAAGCCAGCCTCAGCAACTTAGTGACGCCCTAAGCAACTCTGGGAGACTCTGACTCTAAATTAAATATAAAAAAGGGCTGGGTGGGACTGGGTTGTGGCTTAGTGGTAGAGCACTTGCCTAGCATGCATGAGGCACTGGGTTTGAACTCTGGCACCACATAAGAATTGTCAAATAAAACAAAGGTATTGTGTCCCATCTACATCTTAAAAATATATATATATATATATTTAAAAAAGGGTGGGTGGCTGAGGATGTGGCTTAGTGGTTAAATGCCCCTGGATTCAATGCCTGATACCAAAAGTAAAAGGATACAGGGAGGAGGTATAGCTGTCACTGAGAGGTTCCTGGGAACTAGACTGAGGGCAGAAGTGACAGCTGGAAGATCATTGTGAGTATCAATGGAGACAAGAAGCACTGCTGCAGAATGAGGTGGTAGCCAGTGTGGCCCAGTGTTTGAGAACATTGTCTAAAGCAGTTAATGATTTCGCTTACGCTAATTAGGAAAGCGAAAAACCTTCTCTTTGCCACAGTATCACTAGAAGAGAAATTATTTGCATCCATCAGAACGAGTGCTTTCTCAGATAGGCAAGAAAATGATTGTCTTTTGACATCAAAGGATTTATATTCATTAACACTATTTGAAATGTAGGGCTTCTGTCACCTTTGAAAGCCTAATTAATTGTAAGAAATGTCAAACAAGTATGTTTTCTTTCTCTGCCTTTTTTTTCATCTGTGTGTGCACCTGCTGCCCTTTTTATGTGTGTGAGTTTATTTAGAAGGGAAATGAGATGGAGACTCATGTCACTAAAATTGGAGATCTGATTCAGTAATTCAGTGTGTGCTTTGGGACTCACAGGGAGAAGTGACTCCTCACAAGCAGAATGTTTTGGACCTGTGTAGAGGATTTGTGGGGTGGGAAGGAAATCCTTCTTGGAGATTTCAAGTCTTCATCATTTCACTGCCTCCTTTTTTGTGTGTGCATGGGGGTTGGGGGTACATGTGTGTTTTAATTATTTTTTTTACTTTTTTTATTAACTAGGAAAATGAACACTTGAAAAAATTCCAGGTGACCTGGGAACTGCATAATAAACACCTGTTTGAAAATCTGGTCTTTTCGGAGCCACTTCTCCAGAGCAACTTACCAGCATTGGTGTCACAGATCAGGTACTTGTTTTTAATCTGTGTACATCCTGTGGTATGACAGTACAATTTTCCTGTGATATGGTGTGTGTGTGTGTGTGTGTGCGCGCGCACCTAGAGACCACTTCATCTATGTGTGCTTGGACCTTCTTGCAGAAAAAATAACACAGGACCTAGGGAAAAAGACAGTTTGGGCAGAAAACTCAAAACCTAAGGAGTAATAAAATTAAATTTTTAAGTAATAAACCAATATAAATGCCACTCAGAATTAACACTACAAACTCCTCATAAATATAGGAAAGCTACAGTAATAGAGTGCTTTCCTTTGGCAGGACTCTATCTGGCAGGAATGCTGTGGTTCTTCTGTGGTTTAGGGATGTGCAGGGAGTTCGCAGAAGGAGGCAGGGCCCAGGTGTGAGCATGCAGGCTGTCTTGAGCATTAGGCATATGTTGCCATCTCTTAGAAATGTGCCCTCCATGCCCCAGCTCTGCATCTCTGCTTGTCCCCTGAATTCATCTTCCTGATATGGAGTACCCAGGTGGCTTTCTTATGTCAACATAAACATAATATTGCAGAACTCACTTGTGGGCATTTGTGGGGCATGAACTGGAGCAAGTGAGGGGCTGGGGGCTGGGTGTACGTTTGCCCTGAAGGTACTGTGTTGGGTTAGGAGGCATGCCTCTCTTTCGTCTGATGTTGCTTAGCAGAGTGGAGTCATGTGAGAGCTACCTTAGTCCCCAGTGTATGATTTTGTTTTTCCTACCTGTTAACTGCATATTCTAGATACACCTAACAATAGCTATTTTTGTTTGGCTATACCAAAATGTAGTTTGAATAGATTGACAAGGAAGGGGAACCACAACCTGGGTATAGTGGCACATGTTAGTCATTCCAGTTCAACAGGCTGAGGCAAGAGGATTGCAAGTTTGAGGTCATTCTTGATAACTTAGGGAGACTCTGTCTCAATATATAACTAAACAGGGGGCTGGGGATATATGTATTTATTGTAGTAGAGTGCTTGCCTAGTATGTGCCAGGCCCTGGGTTCAATACCTAGTGCCACCAAAAAAAGCAGGAGGAGCTGCTTGTAATAAATTATCACCCTGATTTACCTACCAGTCTCCTTTAAAAAAAAAAAAACAAAAAAACTTAAAACCCGGGTGTTGATGTAGTGTTCATTGCATATGTTCCCAAATTTTATTTGAGGGCTGGCCCTTAACTGTCCCCCATTTTACAACCTCATTTCTAGACAAAGAACAGCCTCAAAAACAGTTTGGTGGTGCACTTCACAGGGCTGAGCCCACTAGGCCACTGCCATCCCTGTTGGGTCAGCAAGTCTGAGTGGTCTTGGACCACAAGTCCTTGCTACAGGAGCAGTCCCACTTACAACCTGGAGGCCCATTCAGGTGTCTTCCTTGCCATTCCCTGGGCCACTGCTCTACCCTTCCTCATCACACCTGGGTCTTCAGCATTTAGAATTGATAGGTCACCCCATATTCTGCCAACTCCATTGCTGGTGGCTGCTCGGTTTACAAGGTCAGGGACCTGGAGGACTGCTTGACCTTCTTGGTTATCTTCCTGATCATCATCTTGTTTTCTTTTGGGTTTATCTGCAGTTTTTCCTTGAGGAAGCAAAGATGCTGTAGTTGGAGCAACCTTTTTGCTTAAAGTAACTCCAGCATACCTGGCTTTCCTACATCCAGTACTTTTCCAAAACCAATGTCATGTCCAGTAGTTTTATTTGATTAAACGGGAGGATTGTTTTGTATGAAGTAGGATAGGTGTGGCTTGTGCCTGCTGAGGTTTTGCAATGTGAAAGATAAGAACAGTTCAGCTAAGAAWGCACTGCTTTTATTTTTTGCAGCCTTCAATTTGAAAAAGGAGAGAAAAATACTATTTTAAATAAATGATATTTAAGTGAGATTAATACTGTTTAAAACAAAAAAAGGGAGGTTAGAGGGATTGATGGAAAGGTGTTGTGCAGGCATGGCGTGGCACTCGCAGGTGTGCCTAACTCTTCCAGCATTCAGCCACAGCCTGCTTCCCAGCTACTCTTTCCCTCTGTGTCCACTGTTTTTTKTGTGTGTGTTTTGTTTGTTTTTGTTTTTCCATAGCATTGGCGGTGTGGTGAGCAGTGCTCTCAGTACCTCATGTTTATTAATAAGTCTATTCTGCACAAGCCCAAGGAGGCAGAGAAATCATTATCCCCTAACTACAAGGGAGAAGTCTTTAGCACAGAGGCTCTGACACAGCACTCCTCGTCTCCTGTCCACAGGGCACAGAGACACATGGTCATGCCATGGCCGGGATCCCTGTATGTCTGTGCATGTGTTTGACTGCATGTCCATTTGGGGATCACACCCAGGGGGGGCTTTGTAAATGAAGTTGCTTAGTGCAGCCTCTGAGGCCCTTGTATAGGGAGTCCTGCTGGTGGTCCAGTGGGTGCCATGGCTCTCAGAGCCCCTCCTACAAGGCCCCCTGACAGGAAGCACAGTCCACCCACCAACTCCTGCTCCTGTGTCCACTGTTTAAAAGATTTTAATACACTAATTTTGAGTGTCACAGAAGAAAAAGGAGTTGAGAGTATGTGTGAGGCCCTGGGTTGGATCCCCAATAGTGAAGGAAAAAAAAAAGAAGAAGAAGAAGAAGAAAAAAGAAAAGGAGCTGGGAACTTTTTGGAAGCTGAGGTTGAAGTGAAGAACTCATTGTCTTCTAAGCCAAGAGGTAGACATCCACCTGAAGATATCCATCCTGCTACTGTGAACCAGCAGGTTTGATGGGCTTGTCRTCATACTGTGTGGATGGTGACAGAAACTTGAAAGGCATTATAAAGCTCTTGTTTTGTTTTTTTTTCCCCTGTGCCCATGTTCTAGATTTTTTTTTTATTTCTCTTCAGGAATAAAATGGACAGACTCTAAAGAGCAGCAGTGTCTTATAGTCTTAAATGTTAATTCTGAGGTTCTTGCTACAATCTCTGAGTTCCAGGAGCAGATGAGGCATGGTGCTGGTGATAAAGCAGTCCTTTGACGTCCCATGGGGTCTCCACTGTTGGATCTGAGAAGGATATAGACTTGAGTTTCCAGTGAACAAACAGATTTAACAACTCATAAAAATTCTTGACACAAATTATGTGTAAACAATACTCCCTAAGCAACAAAATACAGCAGCTGTATTTTAATACTAGCACTTCATCTCTGGGCCTGTTTGACTTCTTTGAAAAGATAGGGAGGTCTGTGCGAAGCACACATTAAGTTTAATTAACTGCTGAAARGCAAGTGTCTAGAGCAGCACCCATGTCTGCCCCTCCACATCAGTTTCTTTGCCCAGAATTGTCACTGTAGCCATTCTCCTCTTGATAGCCAAGTGTGTTTTTCCTTTCTTAATCTCACCTGGCTTTTTGTTTTGTTTTGTTTTTAAACATGAATTGTCTACCCAAAGGTGTCCTCATCCAAATGAATTTGATATAGTTTAAGAAAGTTATTTTTCTTTTATGTGAATAACTTTATTGAGACACATGCATATTGTGCAATTTACCAATTAAAATATACAAATCAGTAGCTGTTAGCATATTGCATAGTTTTTAATTTAAATTTGATAAAATATATCTGATAAAATCTCCCAATTTAGCCATTTTAAGTGTATGGTTATTTAGCATTTATTTACAGCCATCACTGCTACATATTTCCAAAACTTTGTCTCATCACCTCAAACAGAAACTCTATAACCACCAAACAGTAACTCCCATTCTATCCTTTTCCCCCTTTGTCTTTTGAAAGTCTTAATCTGTAGCAGCACCCTCTTTTTTCCTGACAACTTACCTGTTAAAGAACTGTCTGTCCTTTGACAAGATAGAGGTGCCATAATCTGGGTCCTGCATGAACACACTTATGGAGCTCTCACATTATACCAGCAAAGAAATCTCCAGGACCCCTGTCTCCTCTGCCCTCCTGTGGCTCAAAATAATCAGTGTCCTATAAATTGGAAGAGATGTGTGCTTGCTTCTGGTAGGAGCAGGTAGAATGGGGGGCCAGATGGGATTACACATAAAATGAGCTTTGTGTGAAGAGTGGAAGTCATTCATGAGAGGAGCAAGGCTGGTAGCCACCAGAGTCTGCAGAAGATCTCTACTTCACAGCCACAGCGTGGCAAGAGGCAAGGCTGTGTTCTTGAGGTCTGGGGTCATGCTAGGTATTGGTACAGAACCCAGAAAAGAAAGATGGTGTCACTAGAGCCATATCTTGAGGAGCTGTTTTTCCTGAGAGGGAGAGTCTTAGGAGACTTGATGCTTGCACTGCTCACTGTCCCTGTGTGCATCAGTATTCTGTTTCCTGCATTGTTCCCTAACAACTTCTGCATGCTTCTGCATGGCTGTCATCCATGTGTGTAGGTAGGATTAGCAACCAGGGGGTTTGGTTGCAGATTCCCTCTCTATGCAGTATTTCCCCATGGACCTCCCAGATAAAAGGAAAAGAGTGAGTTGTTTCTGTTTATTTCTACCTGTGACAAGATTTTAATTTAAAATGGCTTCATTTTATTTATTTATTTTTCCCAGTACTAGGGATGGAACCTAGAGGTACTCTTCCACTGAGCTATTCCCCCAGCCTTTCTTTTTATTTTGAGACAGGGTCTCACTGTGTTTGCCCAGGCTCTCTTCAAATTTGGTAATTATCCTAATTAATCTAATTATCTAATTACTCTTTAGACAGGCAAGTGCCACAGGGCCTAGTGATTTTATTATTATAAAATTATTAGATTGTTACCATAGATAAAATCCTGAAAATATATAAAATCATGAAGAAAAAAAGCACTGTAATCACTTTGATGTTTCTTACACATTTTTCCTGTGTCCTGCCACATACATTTGTTTGTTTGTTTGTTTTTATATTTATTTTTTGTAGTTGTAGATGGCCAGCATACCTTTTATTTTGTTTATTTTTATGTGGTGCTAAGGATTCAACCCAGTGCCTCACACATGCTAAGCAAGGGCTCTGCCACTGAGTCATAGCCTCAGCCCCACATAATTTTTTTTCATTACTGGGGATTTAACCCAGAGCCTCACTCCTTTTAGTCAAGAACTTCACCTCTCAGCTACGTGTTCAGCCCACACRTGCACATTTTTAAGCATACTGTAATTGTATCTAGTATATTTTCATTTTAAAACATACATGTATATGTGTGTATGTGTGGATGAATAGATAAYTACAAATTTTACAATTTTGTCTTATATCCCTTCACCTAGACATCCCATAATTATTTTATGGTTCTCTGTGGCTAACTCCCAGTTTTTTTTATATCAACAGTGCTTATATGTCTACCCTTGCACTTAAGTCTTTGTGTTTCTTTTCTTTTCAGGACAGGGAGTGTACTGAGGATTAAACCCAGGGGCACTCAACCACTGAGCCACATCCCCAGTCCTGTTTTGTATTTTATCTAGAGACAGGGTCTCACTGAGTTGCTTCGTGCCTAGCTTTTGCTGAGGCTAGCTTTGAACTCGTGATCTTCCTTGCTCAGCCTCCTGAGCTGCTGGGATTACACTGCGCCTGGCGCTCTTTGTGTTTCTGTTATAAATGTTTCTGGTATAAATGTAAAGCAGGCATACCTCTGCTTCCCAGCTTGAGTCTTTGATTCTGAATAATCAGTGTTGAGAACTCTGTATTCCAGCTAAAATGGGCTGACATGTTGGTGTACTTATGTATTAAGGAAATGAATTTTTCTGGTGAGAATCTCTATGTAGCTCCACACCACCCCTTGAGCTGCCATCTTCTCTCTCCCAAACCACTATCTTGCTTCATGTCCTCTTTTTCAGAAATCCGCATATTTTTTCTCCAGACCACCTGTGTGTCCTTCATTTCCCATCTTACCATTGTTCTTAATACAGTGTAACTATATCTCTTCATTTGAATCTGATTTTCTGTTTTGCTTTATTTGAAAACCAAGTATAAATTTTTTTCTCTCAGTAAATGTTCTGTTTTCTCTGGGTCTGTATTTCAATAGAAAAAAAAAATAGTTCATGACCCCATGTGCAGCAAACTGAACCATTCTTTTGGGAATAGCATTATCCCCTACTAATTCCTTTTCTTAGGAGCTCTTCTTTCTTTGAGTATCTCCTTTATGTGAGGTTTTATTGGGTACCCTGCATCTGTGACCTATTGGGCCCTCACTGCAGCCCTGCTGTGGTATGTAGTGGCATTACTGTGTTTTTGAGACGACCCAGGTAGACTGTCGTGGCAGGTACACCTCTGCTTCCCAGCTGGAGTCTTGAGGCTCTCTTGTCACAAGGCCTGCTCCCTCCTAGGCTGGGGACCACCACACATGACACCTGCAATGAAGACACATACAGCACCTTGCTGCAGAGGTTCCAGCGCTCTGAGGAGGAGCTGCGCAGAGTCGCGGAGCAGTGGCTGGAGTGCCAGAAGAGGATTGATGCCTATGTGGACGAGCAGGTAAGCACTGTGCCAGAGGCACAGCCTGTGCATTGACAGGGTGTGTGCCAAGGGGCTCTCTACAGTGGAGGAGCAGGGCTTCCTGGCAGAGGCCCTGGGACACCCAGGTGGGGACCTCACTGCAGCAGATAGTTTTCCTAGCAGAGCTATACTGGTGATGTGGTGGTGGCAGTTGGTCAGGTCCACCTCAGCCAGGGTGTGTACACCATCCCTTGCATAGTCTGTGCTCATGCAGGAATCTTGGGGACTTTAGGAAGCCACCAGACCTTGTAATTCCAGAAGCCTTTACTGAACACTGTGGTATTCAGAGCCTACTCTTCATTCATCCTGAATCATCCAGAAAGGGAGCACAGAYACACATGAAAGTGTTAAGGAAGCTGGAGGAGAGCTGGGAGGCAGGCCATGCCTGCTGGAGATGGACGTGCAGGGACATTGCACTATGTGRCCAGAGCCCCTCAGGTGGGGACAGACTCTGAGCAAGTCTTTGAGATGTTATCCCCTCCTGTCCAACCCTGGCCTCCTAACTTTCTAGAACCTCTAGTAGAATCAGGCAAGGAAGTCAAAGTGGTCTTGTTTTAAAGGTCATTGGTATGAAGAAGTAAAAAGGAAAAACGACAGAGCTCTGTATTATGCTTTTCAGACTATTCGTGGAAAAATAGAGCTGTGGTTCTGGATTCAGGTGTGTACTGGTTCTAAGTCTATCCCAGGATTGTTAGTGCCACTTAGAAGCTGACCAAGCCCTTTGTTAGCTTTTGTCCCTATCTGACATTAAGCAGCTGTAAGGAAGGAGGAGGGCACTGGTATGTGCTCACTTCTCTTGTAAGCCATCTCACTGTTTGGGGAGCTCAGGCCTTGCTTTATGTGGCAGTTGCCTTACTGCCATTGCTTAGTCTCTTGCTCATTGTTGTTCTGCCCTTCTCCTTCATCACTACAGTGGGCTTCACCCTGAGCACTGCATGCATAATAGAGAGGCAGGGCAGTGSGGCTAATCAGCTCCTACAGCTTTCTCCCTCTTGTCCTGTGGTCACTGGCAGAATTTGGGAGAACCATTGTTGCTTTGAGTTTTCTTCAGCATGGATGTGACCCTGAATCATGTTTTTGTCTGGTTGTGCAATCAAAGACTTGCTCTCTAGCTGTGCCTTGTCACTGAGCAGTGTTGTCTTACTTCAGGCTGCTGTTGGAGCAGGGCTGTTCCCAAGCCACTTCGACAGTGTCAGTTGGGCTGATGCTGGAGCAGGTCAGGTAGTCATGAAGCTGTGCCTGTGGCTTGCCTGGGTGAGGAGGGCCAGACAAGCAGATCATGAGTAGAGCTGCAGCATTCTCTCTGCAGCCTCAGCCACTAGGCCTGAGCATTCAGGTAGCCAGCAGCTATTCACATGAAAGGAACAGCAGAGAGGATATGGAGAGCTAGCTGCTTTCCCCTCTGCTGTCGGCACACAGAAGAGTCTGCTTCATGAGACTTCTGTTTAGACTGGAGGTAAAATGGGGCTGGGACAGGGAGGTCAGTTGTAGCAGGCTCTTGAGCTGTGGCAGTGCAGAGGGATCCTTGCACAGAGGTTCCTTGGGGGATCTACTTGACATGGGTTCTGTGCAGGACCATGAAAATTGACAGCAGGCTACAATTCTGAATCTGCCTCATGAGCTCTGCTTAAACTGTTTCCCTTCAGTTTTGTGTTCCATTAATTCCAAATAAATTTTTTGTGCTTTTTTTTTGTGTGTGTGTGTGGGGGGGGAAGTGGGTATTGTGGATTGAACTCAGGGGCACTTGACTACTGAGCCATATCCCCCATCCTATTTTGTATTTTATTTAGAGACAGGGTCTCAATGAGTTGTTTAGTGCCCTCACTTTTGCTGAGCTGGCTTTGAACTCCCAATCTTCCTTCCTTAGTCTCTGAAGCTGCTGGGATTTTGCTTTGTTTTGAAAAAAAGAAAAAAAAAAACTGCAAGAAGTAGTCCCTTGTGTAGTGAATTGCATTGTGGTAAGCTGCTTAAGGGTCACCTACAGAGAATACCCCAGGATAGCTGTGCATAGTAGTTTGTGGAGGGTAACAAGGTAAGAGAGAAGCAGTGAAACTCTGGTTTACTGGGGTGTCAGATCATCAGTATTCTGTAAAGGAAAACGGTGCGGTGGGGTGGGGGAGTCTAGATTTGAGTCAGCTTTCTGTTTTATGACAAAGTGCTTGGAATAATTAACTCATAAGGATGAAAAGTTTGTGGCTCATGGTTTCAGAGGGTGTAGTTTATGGTCTGTTGACCCTGTTGCTTTAAGCCTGCAGAGGCACAGTCATGGCAGCCAGGAAGCAAAGAGAGAAGAGAAGGGGCTGTGGTCCCAGTATCCCCTTCGAGGAGAATGTACCCCTATGATCTAACTTCTCCCATTAGCCCCCACCTCCTCAAGGTTTTGTCACCTTCCACTGGTGCTACAGGCTGGCAAACAAGCCTTTAACAGATGAATGTTTACGGAACATCTAAGATTCAGACTATGGGTAGATCTTATCATTGGGGCTCAAGRGAATGGTGGAAGGAAACTGATGAGGAGCTGGAGAGGGAGTGAGGTGCAGGAAGCAGGGCTATTGCAGCTGGTAACAGAGACTGGAGCACTGGGGCTCCTGGACCCAGGGAAGGGCCACTGCAGATGACAAGGGCCTCAAGGCTACCAAAGGAGCTACTTGTGAGAGGTGCATGGAAGGGCCCTAAATCCATAGGTCTCTCAGGAAGTGAAATTATGAAATAATATTACCTACCAAGTCTCTGTCCTAACAGCTTCAGTTATAGGAAAGTCATACTGTGTGAGGTCAAGGAACCCTCCAGGGCRTTGATGTTATGAAATAAACTCAGGACCTCTCTTGTCTTTTCCAAGGACTATGGCCTGCAGTGTCCTCATTTTATCTTTGATAAGGTTCATGTATTGGGGTAAAAGGGAGGCATGTTGCTGTGGATACTCTGGACTGCAGCAGGGCACATGCAGCACCTTTGGAGCCTTCTACATGTAGACAGTTAGCTCACTGCAGGACTGCTGCCAAGCGCGCCCAGATGGTACCAGCTGGCATTTGCTGTTGGCCTGGAGATAAATGTCTCAGGGCCCATTTCAGTGCTGTAGTAGTCATTGCAGTAACTGAGAAGCTCTCTGCCCTGCACCCTGGTGTGGAGATGCTATGATTCTTGGGGTAGGGAATGTGCAGAAGTGAGTTGGCAGAGATTTCAGGCCTGGTTGGACTAGAAGACCTTCAGGTCCCCTCCATTCTGAGATGTAAATCAAGGAACACACCTATTCCTGACAGTGGGGATGGTAATCTCTGTGCCTGCTGCTCAGTGCTCATCAGGGCTTTGCAGAACACTTTCTGGGGAGGCACTGTCTGCTAGGCTTGAGTGGCAAATGGARACCCCCAGGTATGTGGGCAGTGCCTATCCTGGTATAGAAATGGGGAGGCTGGCTTCTCAAGACTCCTGAGTCTGGGAGCTTCTCTGAGTGGGACTGCTGCCTCCCTCTCTCCACACATTTGGCATTTCTCCTGCTATTCACTAGAGTTGGTTTCTCTCATGTTATATCTATATAAGCTTATGCAGTGGTAAATAACCATTAGGTGATTTCAGAAAATGGAATAATTAAATAGTAATTCAGATTAGAGAAGAGCATGGTGCCAGGCTCTGTGTGGATCACACCTTCACTGCTCTTGGGCTCTAGACATAGTTACCACAGCTGTGGGTGGCAGGAGACTCCCCAAGGGCCCAGCCAGGAAGGCTTAGGGCTCCAGGGCAGAATGGTCACATCCTGTCCCCTGGTATACATTGGATGGGTGTGGTAGATTTATTTCTCCTGTTGGACCAGGCCTGAACAGGAAAAAGACCCAGGGTAACTCTCAGGAAGGGGGATGTTTCTTTTTTGCTACGACTGAAGAATACTTTAAGAGTAATAATTCCTAGAAGTGTTTGTTGCCTGCAATTGGTTTCATTCACTAACATAATATACATTGCTATCATTGCTGTTCTAGTGAAAATGGAAATGTATGTAAAAATAGCAATGCTTTCTCTTGGGAGAAAAATACAGTATCACTTAAAAAGTAAAGCTGATGGGGCTGGGGTTGTGGCTCAGTGGTAGAGTGCTGGCCTACCATGCACAGGACASTGGGTTCAATCCTCAGCACCACATAAATGTAAAATAAAAGATCTTGTGTCCACCGAAAAACTGAAAAAAGAAAAAAGTAAAGCTGATATTGAATTTATTTCTTTAAAATTCTGTCTTTTTTTGTACCAAGGATTGAGCCCAGGGGTGCTTAACCATTGAGCCACATCTCCAGCCCTTTTTATTTTATTTATTTATTTTGAGAGAGAGAGACAGAATTTTAATATTTATATTTTTCTAGTTTTCGGAGGATACAACATCTTTGTTTTTGTATGTGGTGCTGAGAATCGAACCTGGGCTGCACGTATGCCAGGCGAGTGCGCTACCGCTTGAGCCACATTCCCAGTCCTTTATTTTTTATTTTGAGACAGGGTCTCGCTAAGTTGCTGAGACTGGCTTTGAACTTGTGATCCTCCTGCCTCAGCCTCCTGAGCCACTAGGATCACAGTTGTATGCCACCATTCCCCTCTGTCCTATCTTTTTTACAGAGAAAGAACATTGTCTCCACTAAAGCAACCAGAAAATACATTCCTGTTTATCACTTTCTACCAAAAACCATGAGAAATCAAGACGTTATAATACAAATTTGAGAAATTGAGCCACTTTTAGTAGCATCCATGGAGTCATTGCAGAATGAGGGAGGTGACTTAAAATAATGGAAATGTATTTTGTCATAGTTCTGGAAGCCCAGACCCAGAAGTTCAAAATCAAGGTATCATCAGAGTCATGTTTTCTTCTGAACGCTGATGGTTGCAGGGATGGGGAAATCTTTCCGCCCTTCCCCTTCACAATGGCCCCAGGTGTCCTATCTAGTGACTGTGTTACTGCAGTCCCCTATGGAACCATTTAAATCTGTCATTTAATTTAAAGCCTATGAAATGGAGATTAGTTACTTCTCATCAGTAAGCATTTTAGAAATTTTTTACTAATCCAAAGATTTCAAAATGTAGAGCACTTGTCAAATAATTGAGTCTTTATTCACAAAGAAACAGARTGCAAGGGGCAATTGACAGCTTTGAAATGTTATTTTGCTTTTTAAAATTCATGTTTTCTTTGTTTGATACATGTATACATAACCCTGCAGTTACCCAAGTTTTTCCCCCAACTAATTTTGACCTAGAGAATGTGAGGAGAGGACCAAAGAGTGGGTTTTTATTGATGTTGTTTACCAATAAAATGGAGTGGCACATGGAGACCCCCAGCTGACCTCCCTGTCCCAGCCCCATCTTACCTCCTGGCTCCTGATCTACTACAAGCACAGCAAACTCCAGTCTAAACAGAAGTCTCATGAAGCAGACTCTTCTGTGTGCCAAATAACTCTTGAATTCTGAACTAATTACATACTTTCCTATCTTTATATATGAATGCATCACCAGTGAAACTCCACATCATATACMAGCACAAGAGTGGGATCCTAACTAGAATAAGTTGTACTCCAAGTATGTGTAATGTCAAAAAACACTCTACTGTCATGTATATCTAAAAAGAATGAATAAAATATGTATACATATGATCACCTTTCCTAATTTTTAGCTTTCTAATATCATTTTTCAAACTTGCAATAGTAATACATACTCTCCAAGAAAAATGCCTTTCTGCGATGGGGTTGTGGCTCAGTGGTAGAGCGCTTACCTAGCACATGTGAGCCACTGGGTTTGATCCCTAGCACCACATAAAAAACTAAATAAACAAAATAAAGGTTTTTGTTTTCTAATGCCTTTTCTAAAAACTGCAGGCATATATGTTGAAAAGGAAGGGTTGGCCCTTGGTATTAAATCCTTCCATCTAAGAATCTGATCTCTCCTTATTTTTAGGTCTTTTTTTCTATCCTGCATAGTCTGTGCATTTCTTACCAAGTTTATGCCATGGAGTTTCTTAGTTTTGGGTCCTGTTTTKTGAGTATGCTTTCTAATGTGCTCTTGGTGATGAACAGGAAGGCAGAGTTAGGGGCACCATTCGTCTTACCAAAGTCCCTCAGTAGCTTCAGTAGTTTTTGAGTCAGTTGCTTTGAATTTTCTGGGAGATAATGATATCATCTTCAAATAATGATAGTTCTATCTCATTCTTTCTTGCATTTGAACTTTTTTTTGGCTTTAATTAGAACCTTCAGAGCAGGGTGAGTGAATATACTGGCAGAGGCACCCTTGGCCAGTCCTTGTGTGGGGGTTTTGAATGTCTCACGATGAATCACTGTTTGCCATTCAGACTTTTTTGGCACTTACTAGCAAATTCAAGAAGTTCACTTTATTTACTTGGGTTATTTGAAAAGAAAAAGAGTAATACATGTCAAATTTGATTTTATAGTTTTCCTATTTTTGTATGAATTTTAAGAGATTAGGTTTCCTAATTTTSAGGCATTCTTGGCATCCTTGAGATTAATCCTTATTAGATCATGATATTCTTCACTGTTAGATTTAACTTGCTGATGTTTTATTTAGGACTTTTTATTTATATTCTGAGGTGTTATGGAGTTGAGTTTTAGTTTTTGACACCTTGTCTGTTTTGTGATAAGATCATGATAGCTTTATGGAACAATTTGAGAAACTGTATTTTTTCAGTTTGCAGGAATAGTTTGAATTTTCTATTTCATGAAGGATGTGATAGAACTTACCATAAAACTTTGGGGCCTGATTCATGTTTGCAGAGAGGAAGAACAAGTATAGATCTACTGTTAGTCTATTTCAGGTTTTCTTCTTCTTGAATCACATTGCATTTTACCTATTAATTTTTGTGTAGAAAGTTATACACATTGTTTAGATGAAGGGTCTTGAGTACTTGTCTCCAGGCTGGGGAATTCATGGGAGTGATGGAGTGGGCCAGCTCAGGAGTGCTGCGGTTCTCATATCCACCATGTGTGCTTACACCTAGGCAGGCTCAGGGAGAGAGCACTTCTCCTTTCAGGTAGGAAATGGTCTGCCCTCTGCAGTGGGAGGCTCTGGGGAACTGTGCCTTTTGTAAAAAGAGCACTTGTGGGACTGAGGATATAGCTCAGTTGGTAGAGTGCTTGCCTTGTATACACAAGGCCCTGGATTCAGTCCCCAGCACCACACACACAAAAGCACTTGTGGCGATTTTTATTAAGTTGAATAAGATGCTGAAATGGGCTGCCTGATAATATATTTGTAGTATTGTATCTGTTTTCTTTACATCTTGTATATATCATTTGAAAAAAATCTTCCCTTGAAAATACCCTGTGTAATTGCTRCTGGTACCAAGGGTTTTTGTTTGTTTGTTTTGTTTTTTTAAACATCTGCTTTCTAGATGACAATGAAAACCAAACAGCGCATGTTAACGGAAGACTGGGAGATATTTAAACAAAGGCGATTCATTGAAGAACAGGTAAGTTTGTCCATATGAGAGGCAATTAAAGGAAGTAGGAAATCCTCTTTATAGAGTGAGTGGCATTTTGCACATTAGCTGCTCTGTTGCAACAGGACACCATTTGAGGACCACATGGGCAACATCTGCCAGTGTTAAACAGTGGTTTTAGCCTCAAGGTAAACCAATTTTATTTGCCTATTTCCTACATTCTGATTACTCTTTAAGGAAAGCCAGTGCTCATCGAGTGACTGATGTTGGTACACAGCGGCCCTAGGAATTTTACAGATGACATTGCCCTGAGTCCCCATGCGTACCTGTGAGGCAGGTGTTGCTATCTCCAGATCACACATGAAGGGGTGACATGCTGCAGGCTAAGGCCATTTCTGAAATCACAGGGATTCAGCCCAGYTTTCCCCGGCAATGCCAGGAGCCAGACCATCTGTAGTCTGCCCCCTCCCTCCTCACCCTGGTGGAGCCTCCTCTAGCAGGCTTGCCCTGCACCCTCTGCTGATGAGGTCTTTGGAGAGCTTGCAATTGACCTTCCTGTGATTGGCCTCGGATCCCTCTGCTTTTGGAACTTCTTTCCCTAATCTCATTCATATGGCCACACCAACTATTCCTACTTCCTGGACTGTTTTCTTAGTCTCCTTTATGAGCTTAATGCCCTTGGCCTTTCCTTTAGTTCCCTGCTCCCTGCCCCCTATTCTGTGTATTAAATGGCCTTCCAGCCATCACCTGTCCATTTGCCAAAGCTGGTCCAGAACTCCTTCTCCTTTGATACTCAGATGCTTCCTAGTCAATTGGAAGGAAGCTTCCAGGTCCAAGCCTCTTCCTCCTACACCACATACCAGTCTCTCTTTCTATGGCTGCCTTCCTGGTTCCCAGAAGATACAGAGTACTTGACAGATAGAGGGTAAAGGTTGGGTATCTGCAGTAGCCTGCCTTCTGGATGTCTGTTATGAGGGCACGTGACAGTGTGCTTGCTGAAGACCAAAATATTTAGGAGGTTCTTRTGCAGCTCAGCTCCAGGTCTGCCGCTCCTGTATCCTGGTCCTGCCCACCTGAGGAAGCTGACCAAATTGATTTCTACATATTATCATAATTACTAGAAAATGTGATCCATGAAATGGAGAAAGGTTTCTGTGAAATTAATCAATTGTTTGATAATTTCCTCTAGTTAACCAATAAGAAAGCGGTTACTGGCGAGAACAACTTCACAGATACCATGAGGCACATGTTGTCATCACGACTGAGCATGCCTGACTGCCCCAACTGCAACTACAGGAGAAGGTGAGCTGGGCTRTCATGGGTGCAGCAGCCTGCAGCCCTCCTTGAACCAGGTGGAGGTCTGGAACCGACCTTCAGAGAACATGATGACCTTCTGTKTTGGCTCTCTTGGTAACTGTCCTTAATTCCCGATCAGATGTGCTTGCGATGACTGCAGCCTCTCACACATCCTCACTTGTGGTATCATGGACACCCCCGTCACTGATGACATCCACATTCACCAGCTACCACTCCAAGTGGATTCTGCTCCCGACTATCTCTCTGAGATGCGCCCACCTAGCGTGTCCTCAGCAAGCTCAGGGTCRGGCTCCAGCTCTCCCATCACAGTTCAGCAACATCCCAGACTCATCCTCACAGACAATGGCTCTGCACCAACTTTGTAAGTTGTAACTGTGTAATAAAGATTCAGAAATTTTAAGTATTCAATCGCAAGAAACAGTGATGTCTACAGAAGTATGAACATCATCATAATGCTTTTCATGAAAAAGACCTTGCATTGTTTTAAGCAACTTTTAAAACATGAAATCAGTCAATTCAAAGTTTGACACTTATTTCATTACCTGAAAAAAATGTTAAATTAACAAGTGCCAGTACAGTAAAAAACATGAAAAACATGTTGGTATGCAGGGAAGTGTCTCCTTGGCTCTGGCCCCTTCTGCTTGTGCTCCCGGAGGGCGGTCAGCTGCCGTTCACTCGCCTCATTGTCAGCCCAGCGTTCATGCTTGCCTCATGTCTTGCTAAGAGTTCAAATGATCGCGTTAGCAAGCAATGGAAAGTTTGTCTTCTGTGTTCCCACATAACTAGGTGTTCCTTTCATACTGGCAAGGCTGCCCTGCTGCTCTTGCCTGTTCACTTTGTGGTTGGCTGGTCCCAGATTCCTTCAAAGTTGTGACACTGTCATTTGTGAGGGCTTATGGAAGGGTGGTAATTACTTGAGTAGACCTAGACTTCCATTGCATGTGCATCATAGAGCATGCAGCCATCGTGAGCCCTGCAGAGATTCCAGTGCCAGGGATTATTGCCCCTGACCTCGGCTATTCAGCCTTCCTCAGATTTCTCTGACTGGAGTCATACCTTTATCTCCTCTCTCTGGATTTCTCAAGGAAACTGAGAAGGGCATCTCAAGTCACATAATAAATGAGAAACCTTTCCTTGAGAGTCTTCCAGTTCTCAGTATGGACTCGTTCTCAAGCCCCAAATAATTCTTTTTCTTCCTTCTTTCCTTCCTTCCTCTGTGTGTGCGTGTGCATGCCTCTCTCTCTCTCCCTCCCTCCCCCTTCCCCCCTTTCTCTCTCTCTCTCTCTCTCTCTCTCTCTCTCTCTCTCTCTCTCTCTCTCTCTCTCTCTCTTCCCCTTGGTGGTACTGGTGAACTCAGAGGTGCTTTACCACTGAATTATACCCCCAGCCCTTTCCTTTTTTCTTTTGTTTTTAGTTGTAGTTGGACACAATACCTTTATTTTTATTTATTTATTTTTATGTGGTGTTGAGGATCGAACCCAGCACCTCGCACGTGCTAGGCGAGTGCTCTACCACTGAGCCATAACTCCAGCACTGMCCCCCCACCCAAGCCCTTTTCTATGTTTTATTATGAGGCAGGTTCTAAGTTGTCTTGTGTTGGCCCTGATCTTAAAATCCTCCAACGTCAACCTCCCAAGTAGGTGGGATTATAGGTATAYACCACTGCATCTGAATGTACCCCTTTAATTTTAAATAAAACAATTGTGTCTGRGCTTGGGAGTGGTAGAAGGAATAGTTTTGTAGCAGGGCATCTCAAGTCACATAATAAATATAATATCCATTAGTCTGATTAAATGTTTGTGATTTCCTTAATATTTCTGCTTTTGGAGGTTTTCCCTTTCAATTCTTCCAGGTAGTAAAAATGCTGATCTTCTAGGTCTCTCCTCTCATATTCAGGTGACCAGGAGGTATTGGTAGCGAGTGATGCTTTACAGGACTCTGAACACAAGCAGTGATCTAAAGAAGGCTTCTGTGCACAGCAGGTGGCTCCTTATCCTCCTCTGCAGTACAGGAGCCGCCTTTAACCTTGTCTGTTGTCTCAGTTGTAGTGATGATGAGGACGTTGCACCATTGTCAGCCAAGTTTGCTGATATTTATCCATTGAGTAACTACGACGATACCGAGGTGGTRGCCAACATGAATGGGATCCACAGTGAACTGAATGGTGGTGGGGAAAACATGGCCCTGAAAGATGAGGTATGAGCGTGATTACTTGTAGCCACAATAGGTGGCATAATATGGTGGCCTAAGTTTAATTTTTGCATTATTCTGCTTTGAAAAGTGTAAGTTACAAAAGGCTGCGTTTTAAGTCCCCACAGGTGAGCAGCACCAGTAGTAGCTCTTCAGAAGCCGACGATGAAGAAGTGGATGGTGAAAGCAGTGGGGAGCCCCCAGGAGCTCCAAAGGAAGATGGGGCCCTGGGAAACGGGAGCCCCAGGACAGAGGAAAGTAAAGTGGACACTCCACCCCCTTCTTACCCAGCCCAGCAGGTAGGGTTTCATGTTTCAGATTTTCTTTTTGKCATGAGTCTCTCAGTATATATTTTTCCCAAACATGGGCATTATTAATTGTGAAAGTATTCCATTTCAAGTTATTTCTGTGGCTCAGAATCAGAGAGAATCAAGACACACTTGTAAAACAGACAATTCATAATTTTTAAAAATCTTTTTWAAAAATATTTATTATTTTTTAGTTGTAGTTGGACACATTATCTTTATTTCATTCTTATGTGGTGCTGAGGATCGAACCCAGGGCCCCACAMGTGCTAGGCGAGCACTCTAACCCTGAGCCACGACCCCAGCCCCCAGTTCCTATTTTAATTTTGTTTCCTTTGCTTGAATCTAATCATCTTCTTCATTTTGTAATGCTTCATGTTCGTTTCCTTTTTTTTTTTCTATATAGAAGCAAGGAGAGGCTATTTTTTTTAAAGTTGTAGATAGACACAATATCTTTATTTTATTTATTTTTATGTGGTGCTGGGGAGCGAACCCAGGGTCTCACRTGTGCCAGGCAAGCGCTCTATCACTGAGCTACAACCCCAGCCCCCYAGTCCTTTTTTTGAGATGGGGCCTCATCAAGTTGCTTAGAGCCTCAGTGAGTTTACCAGGCAGACTTGGAACTTGAAGTTCTCCTGCCTTAACCTCCTGAGACACTGAGATTACAAGTGTGCACCACTGTGCTTAGCCTAATAAATTGATTTTGATAGGTGATATAAATATATATAATTCAAATGAAAGACAATGTTAAAGGTATATACATTAAGAAATCTGGCCTTTACCTTCTTCCCCACCTATCCTGTCACATTTGCATACCAAGTCCCTAGTCCCAGTAGATGATTGGTTTTATCTGTTTATTATGTGCATGTACAATATTTATTCTTCCCCCTTTTTGTGAGAAAGGCTGTCTAATAACACACACACAGTTCTGTACCTGTTTGCCTGACAGTGCATCCTGACAGATTATGTCTCTGCACAGCGTACTTTCTCATTCCCTTCTGCTGGCCTCACTCTCTTTCATAATGTGAACATGCTGTAGTTTCTGTTTTTCCTTTTTAGTTCTCTGTTGATGGGCACTTGTGCTGTTCATCCCCTCTTTGACCATTGCAAACTATTCAGTGAGTAACCTTGTACATCTGACGTTGTGTACATAAGCAGATACAGCTCTAGGACTAGTCCAGCAATGAACTGTGGGTAAGAACATCAGTGAGTGGGGTTGGGTAAGGCCACGGTGACCACCCAGACTCCAAAAAAGAGTGGCCCCACAGTTTTGTTGGATTGTTGCCAGTCTGATATATGGAAATGGTAACCCGTGGGGTTTCAGTTTTCATTTCCCTTTAATAGGTAAACCTTCTTTCCTATATTTAAGGGCTATTTGTTTCCTTTTCTGTCCTATCACTGAGTTCTTCATATATTGGATATATATCCTTCATCAGATATGAGATTTGCACTGTTTCCTCATGGTCTATAATGTGTCTCTTTATTTTGTGTGTTTTTTTTTTTAATATTTATTATTGTTGTGTTTATTTTTAGCTGGACACAATACCTTTATTTTATTTTTATGTGATGCTGAGGATCGAACCCAGGGCCTCGCACGTGATAGGCAAGCGTTCTGCCACTGAGCCGCAACCCCAACCCAGTTTTAATAGTGTCTTTTGTAAAGCAGAAGCTTTGGGTTTAATTCATTCCAATTTATTAGTTTTTTTCTTTTCTGAACCATCCCTTTGATACATTGTCTAAGAAAACTTGGCCTAACACAAAACTGTAACTTATTTAGATGCTGCGATTCATTTGACTAATAAGAGTTTGCTTATGGTGTAAGGTTAAAGTCTGCATCTGTGTTTTTAAGTCTATGGACATCCAATTATCCGGTGCTCTCTGTCAGACTGGCCTTGCCCCTGCAGAAGCACTTTGATGATTTGTTGAAAATTGATGGGCCGTAAATGCAAGGGTTTAAGATTCATTCTCCTCATTTGGTCTCTGTTTGTCCTTACATGTGTACCACACGTGACAGTTGCTTAAGGTGAGTTTGGAGGTATAGTAGGGTTCGCTCTCTAGCGTGGCAGACCTGCTTTCTCACAGATAGCAGACTTGGTATAATYGGCAGGTGGGGGTTGGGGGCCAAGCAGCCAGGGCCTCTGGAAGAGATGCACTAACCTGATCCCTGAGAGCCACCCTTAGAGATTAGTTCCCCTGGATTCTGGAGGGACATGGGTATGCAGATAGGATGTGATTCCTCAYTGATTTCTCTCTAATTCTTCCCGTTTCTGAGGGAATCATACTAAAGACTTTTGCCAACTTTTGATTTCTACATTTGGGAATGATGTTGAATGTGTGTACATGTCATTGTAACTCCCTAGTACATTGACCCCTTTGTCATGATGAGATATTTCTCTACTGATACTTCTTACTTTAAAGTACGTTATATCTGATATTAATGAAGCCAGTTTAGCTTCTTGGGTTATTGTATTATGTACATTATACTTTTTTTCCTTACATTTTTCAGCTTCTTTGTGTCTTCAAATCTAAATTTGCTTTCAGATCTTCTTGTTGGACCTTGCATTTTTATAACCTCTGCCTTTTCAGACATTAAACAAAATTTTTAGTGACCATTAATACCATTTAATTGTCACTATTTTTTTTTTTAATGGTACTGGGGAATTGAACCAAGGAGCACTCTACCACTGAGCTATATCCTCAGCTCTTTTTATTTTTTATTTTGAGACAGACTTTTGCAAGCTGCCCAGGCTGGCCTTGAATTTGTAATCTTCCTGTCTCAGTCTCCCAAGTTGCCRGGATTAACATTGCTGTGCCACCATACCTGGCTTCTGCCATTAATTCTGTTTTGTTTTGTTTTGTTTTTAAGTTGTAGATGGAYATAATACTTTTATTTATTTTTTTATGTGTGCTAAGGATTGAACCCAGTGCTTCACATGTGCTAGATAGGTGCTCTACCACTGAGCTATAGCCCTAGTCCTGCCATTAATTCTTTAATGATTTTTTTTTTAGTCATTTTCAAGTTGCTGCTTTAAGCATTACAATATGCATCTTAATTTATTACAATCTACTCCAGTTTAATATTGATTTAATTCCAGTAACATAAACATTGCTCTAATACAGCTCTATTTTTTTCTTCCTCCTTCAAATTATTATTCTGTGTATTATATTTATGTGTTATAAACCCAGCATATTAAAATTATTGCTTTTTTAAATTTCATAATTTTAGAGAAATTAAAAGCAAAGACAAAAGATAACGTGATATTTTCCATTTGCCAGCTTGCTTACCTCTTCTGGCATTCTTTTTTTTTAAATTTTTTATTCTTTTTTGTGTGTGGGGGTTTGTATTATTTCATTTTGTTGTAGGGACAGATGAGGCAAGGCACCGAAGATAGCAGGACCAGTTTTATTTGGCTGCAACCAGGTTCAGAGGGCAAAGCTTTTGCTGTAATCAATCAATCCCCTGAATCTCGAGTTCAGGTAGTTTCAGAATTTTATACCSAGCATGTAAGGGAAGGGGCTCAGAAGTTCACAGTCTGCAGAAGTTCACATAAAAGCAGCTTTTTCTTTCACTGTTCTGGGCAAGTTAACCCTTCAAGTACAGCTCTTGAGAAGGGGGGAGCTTCTTCTCCCCTTTTTTCCCTCCCCTGCCAGCTGTTACCATGGAGCCCAATAGGTAACTTCTCCATAGAAATGTAGACATCTCTATGAAACTCCAGCTCAAGGCCAGAGGCCTTGTTAAAGTATTTGTCTTTTTTAATCACATTTTGCATTTGCAAACATACTTCTACAAATTATTCTACTGGAAACATGTTTGTGAAAAACAAGTGAAAGGGCATTGAGCACCTGGAGTGCTGATTTCTTTCTGGCCAGTGGCCAAGTAAAATAGAGCAACAGGAAAATAGGAAGTTTAACTACATTGAACTTTTTGTAGAGACTCTTTTGCTTATAGTCTTAAAATCAATTATGGTGAAAATTTCTTGAGAAGCTTAGTTAAGATTTTTTGTTAAGGAGAGGGTGCCACTACAATTTCAGCTGAAATACATCCTTTAGTATTTCATGTAGGACCAGTTTGCTAGCACTGAATTTTCTCAGTTTTTMCATATAAATGTCTTTCTTTTTTTCTTATTTTTTAGAATAGTTTTAAGTCACAGCAAAGTTCAATAGAAGGTGCAGAGAACACTACACCCCTTGCCTGCACCTCACATCCTCCCCCACCATCAGAATCCCACACAGAGGGGTGTAGCTGCTGGACAGTCAGTCCTCCACACAGGCCTGTGCTTCTTTATGGAGGCGGACTGCAGGAGCCTCCAAGGTGGTTATGTACATCTATTTTAATCCATGTTCAGCTTCCTTGTATTTCTTAGATCTGTAGATTAATGGTTTTCATCCCATTTGAAAAGTAAGAGTTTCAGACATTGTTTCTTTTAAGTTTTCCTCTCAGAGACCCTTCCGGCTCCTGTCCCTGGGACGACTTTGCATACATGCCGGTGTGTTTGCTGCTTTTTCCAAAGATTTCTGACTATGTTTTCCTTTACACACACACACACACACACACACACACACACACACTCTCTCTCTCTCTCTCTCTCTCTCTCTCTCTCTTTGTTTTCTTTTTTAATATTTTTTTAGTTGTCAGTGGACCTTTATTTTTTATTTATATGCAGTTCTGAGAATCTAACCCAGTGCCTCACACATACTAGGCAAACCAGTGAGCCACAACCCCAGCCCTTCTTACTCTCGTTTCTGCTTGTCTTTATATGGATAATTTCTGTTCCCCTAATTGGAGTTCACAGATTCTTTCTCCGCTGTGTGTGTGTGTGTGTGTGTATGTGCGCGCGCGCGGGGGGTGCTGGGGATTGAACCCAGGGCCTTGTGCATGTGAGGCAAGCACTGTACCAACTGAGATACATCCCCAGCCCACTCTGCTATCTTAAACCTGCTTTTAGAATTCATATTTCATTTTCTTTATAGTTACTGTATTATAATCCCCTGTATGTTTGATCTCTGTTCTCCTACTTGCCTTACATCTCTAAACATGTTGTAGCTGCAGTTTTGCATCTTTTTCTGCTAATCCAGTATGTAGAGCTACTCAGGAGAACCAATTTCTAGTGAATCGCTGTCCTTTTCCTGCAAAAGTGTGGCTCACACTTTTCTTTTTCTTTGCATGTCTCATACTTTTTGGTTGAAAACTGGYCTTTTAAAAATGTAACAACTCTGACTTTCCCTTTGAGTGACTGTTAAGTGAGGTTTTTGCTTCTGTATGTTTTAGTGCTTACCTAGACTTACGTTGCAGAATTGGTTTCCCCCATATGCAGCAGCTAATACATCAGCTCATGTTTTTACTCTGTTTTCGTTTTTTAGCTTGTCTGATAAAGGTCTTGCCTTTGGTTGCTTAGCTTGTTGGGTCAGCTAATGATTTGGACACAGTTCACCTATAGACCTTTAACACCCAGYGTCTCAATGTGTGTCAGAGCATCTGTGTATAGGTGGGGAACAGTATCTGTACCCCACCCAGCTCTCAGGTCACCTGTGGAATTCCTTCCTCTGGGCTCTGAAGTCTTCCTTGTGTGTACACTGGGGTCTCCTGGTTAGCTAGCAAGTGTGGGCAGCCTGAGGAGCCTTCCCAAGCTCTCTCATTTTTAGTCTCCCTAATAGGTTTTTGTCTCATYTGCCACTCACCCCAAGACACCAGCCCCAAGCTATCAGGGCTATAAACTTCCCTGCCCATTCCCCACTGAGTCTGCAACTTCTGTTGGTTCACCTCTACTTGTCATGGAGTTGCCCTCTTTAGCAGCAGGACAGGTTTTCTCCAGCAGCTTCTCTGATGATACCTCTGGCTACTGCTCAGAAGCTGGGGTGGAAAGAGGGAAAGGCCCCAGGCAAGATATCCAACTCAAGCTGCAGTTATCTTACAAGAAGAAAYAGGGTTCTCGATATTCTGCTTTGGCTCGTTTCTAGAGCTTTAGAATGGCTGCCTTTGGCATTTGTGCTCAGGAGGAAGCTGAGTTGTTAGCCCTTCAATCCACCTTTGCCAGAATCCTGCCCCTTGGCTTCCATGTGGAGATTTCTGTGCAGCCACCARTTGAGCAGTAGGAACCCAGTGGAGCAGTCACCTAGCGTTCAGTTATTGTTCCCAGTTCCCTCTTGCAAAGTGACATCTTTGTCAGGTCCTTGATCTGTGCAGTCAGGCACAGGACATAGATTGGTAGCTGCTACCTCAGCATACCACCACCTGGGAATGGGGAGTACCTCTCCCCTCTTTGCCACTTCTGAAGTCCCAGTCCCTGGGGTTCCTTCTTCCCCCTCAAGCGCGGGGGGGGGAGCATGGGCAACTCAAGAGTGTCAGGACACACCTCATTCTTGCCTTATTTGCTTCATAACTGCTTGGCAGAATGTGACTGACATTAACTTATTCATACTAATTTTTAATTTTTTTTTTTTGTAGTTTTAGATGGACAGAATGCCTTTGTTTTATGTTTATGTGGTGCTGAAGATCAAACCTAGTGCCTCACACATGCTAGGCAAGCGCTCTACCACTGAGCTACAGCCCCAGCCCCTAATTCGTATTATTGTTTGTTTCACATTAAACAAGTTCTTTGTTTCTTTCCTTTTAGGCTGAACAAGCTCCGAACACTTGTGAATGTCATGTTTGTAAACAAGAAGCCTCTGGGCTGACAGGGTCAGCAGTGACAGCTGGAGCCCTTCCTCCTGGTCATCAGTTCCTGAGCCCAGAGAAGCCTACGCCCCCTGCATTACATCTGTACCCCCACATCCATGGACATGTGCCTCTGCACACGGTTCCACACCTGCCTCGCCCTCTCATCCACCCGACCTTGTATACAGCACCCCCTTTCCCACACAGTAAGGTAAGCTGGGCCAGAAGGCCCTGAAAGCTCACTCACCTATAAGATCTTGCAGGATTGCTTATTTAAACAGTGTATAAAACTGGCAGCTTGTACAAAACAGTGTCTGCTCYTGATAGGAAGGTCTGTGAATGCCTGCTTTTACCATGATCTCTCAAGTGGTTGTAATTTTGAACCTCCACATTGTTAAAAACAATCATGAAGGTCATGATTTATACATTCAAAGTTAATTAGAACATAGATGCTGCTGCTACCCAGTTAAACTTGGTGCACTTCACATGAGTCTGCTTATCTACTTATGGCCTCCAGAGCCTGTTTCTTGATGTGATGGACAAAGTCATTTGAACARTCCGTCTGACCTTGGGTGGGCTCTGCAGGGTCTAAGTGAGTATGCCTCTTAGCCTGACAACTCACCAGCCTATAGAGGAACTGCAAGGGCAATGTTGTAGAAAATCATATCACCCTAAGGTTGTAGAATTACTGAAGAGCACAGGGGACCCAAAAAAATGAGGTGTGCTAGGAGCTCATTCACAGTAAGCTCTAGAAAATGACTGTCTTGATGTGTTTCTTCTTAAAGTACCCTGTGGGTATATTTAGTGTCTTTGACTTTGCAGCAACACAGTTTTCATTTTTTATGCCTTAGGTAGCTTTGCCTCTAGCTGTTTTGAACTTATCTTTGTTGACTCTCACCATAATTTTGATTGTTTTCTGTTTTTATTTATACCAGTTATTCTGGTTCAAGGTTATCTCTAATCAGTTAAAAAATAGTCTTCTCAAAACTCTCCTGATAGATTATTTTAAACAATGATTGTAAACAAGTGAAAAGGAGGACATGCATGAAAGAGCCTGCTCAGGCTGCAGGCATTCTTCTCCTCCAGGAATTCACTTGCACAGTGGGGTATGTTTAGCATGACCGTGTTGGCCAGGAGGAGTTCAGGTGGGAGAGTTACCCCACAAGCTTAGAAAAGAGGATAATAGGTTTGTTGTATTCTGCTACTGTAAATTCTCAGCAGCTACCCAAATTCATGCTTAAGTTTTGTTAGATTAAATGTTTTCAKTTTGACCATTTGATGGTCTCTTTGTTCACAGCATGCTTTTCAGAGCATTTTTCAGGTATATGGTAAAGCTAGGTTATTTTCATGTGCACTCCATTTTCCTTTGGATGAGTGTGTACGGTTAGGAATYCATCTAGTCCTTCTTGCCTTCCCTAGTCCTAAGATTTTAGAATGTTCCTTATATTTGTCCTGGTTGAAGCTATTCAAGAATTAGTTTCTAAAAATATTCAAGTCATGTGATGAAATAGATTTTGGATTRTTATTCTGGATTATTACCCAGGCTGTGTGGCCTAGCATATGCAAAGCCCTGGGCTCAATCACCATTTGAAGAAAGAAAAAGGAAAAAAAAAAAATAAAGGAAATGGATTATTCCCAGTGCCTGTTGGGACACTATAGTTAAGAGCCTGTTCTTTTCTCTGACTTTAATCTTCTCTCCGGGAATTATAGGTAGTCTATACAAGTGTAAAAGCAGAAGAAAAACATTTTTTAGGACCATCAGCTGTATCTGATGTTCTTTTGCTGCCTGCTAGACTTTAGTGCCATAGATAAATGTGAGAAATTCATGCATAGAAAAACTAAATATAGGGGCTGGAGTTGTAGCTCAGTGGTAGAGCACTTGCTTAGCATGTGTGAGGCACTGGGTTTGGTTCTCAGCACCGCATATGAATAAATAAAATAAAGGTCCATGGACAAATAAAAAATATTAAAAAGAAAAAAGAAAAACTAAATATATAGAGAAGGGGTCAAGTGATATGTAGTGGTGGCCACATAGGAGCTTAGATATTTGTAGAAGACTTTTTTTCCAACTACTTTTTTTTTTTTTTTTTTTTTTGCTGTTACTGATGCATTAGTTTGAGACCGTTTTTATTTGGAGACATAAGATGTCCTTGACACTTCAATTGTACTTGGTGTGGAAACTTTTGTATTGTCTCCTGCCAGGTGTTACAGAACTAGTTTGTTACTTACTTGGATGTTGCACATATTGTGTTAACAGCCCGTGGGAATTGTTGGAGACTCCTTCTAGAGAAAGAACAAGCTGTTAGAAAGACACAGACTTCTCTTCATCAGGAGGATTGTTGTGTGTGGTGTTCCCAACCCAGTTGAGAGGCAGTGGGTGGGTGCCGAATGTGGAGGGAGCTCTGGCCTGCCTCTGCTTCTGCATCCATTTTTGGATTGTGAGTTCTGCTGTGGTGAAGTCACAGAGAGTGCCTTTAAGACTTGATGGCACAGGAGTTGTAATTCTTTTAATTCATACTTGGCCATTGTGGGTAAATATTTAGTACCCAAAATGTTTATGACGACTACTATACAGAAAATTGATTTTCTTAAAATTAAAAAAAAAAACTTGGAACACTTATTTCTATTTTCAAATGTCTTCATACCATTAATATATTTAATTTATATGTTGAAATGTTCAAGGTGGTTGCAGAAGAAAATACAGTAAGAAATACTAGAGAAAAAACTATATGTACTAGGGAATTTAATTTCTAAATATGTGAAGATTTCCCAACTATCTTTCCATTATTTACTTTAATTCCGTTGTGGTCTAAGAGCATATATTGTGTGATTTCTTTCCTCTTTTTTCTTTTTTTTATGGTGTTGGAGATTGGTCCTAGGGCCCTCTGTATGATAAGCAAGCACTCTGTTGCTAAGCTACATCCCACCCCCAATTTCTACTCTTTTGAACTTACAAGAGTGTGTTTTATGGGCCAAAATGTGATATCTCTTGGTGAATGTTCCCTGTGAGGTTGAGAACGTGTATTCTGTTAGATAAGTACTCTGTAGATGCCCATTATATTTAGTTGATTTATGGTAGTATTGAATTCAGCTATGTCCTTTTCTGCCTCCTGGATTGGTCCCCTTTTGATAAAGGGTATGAAGACTCCAGCTGTGACAAGGGATTCATCTGTTTCTCCTGGCAGTTCTATCAGTTTTGCTTACATAGTTTGATGCTTTGTAGTTAGGGGCTCACATTTAGGATCACTGTGTCTTGGAGAATTAACCCTACATCACTATGTAATAATGCCGTTCTTTATCTCTGAACTTTCCTTGCCCTGAAATYTGCTCTGTCTGGGACTAATGTAGTTCTTCCAACTTTTTTGATTAGTGTTTCCATAGTATATCTTTCTCTATCCCTTTACCTTTGTGTCTGTGATAAAATATGCATAACATAAAATGTATCATCTTAACCATCTTGAAGTATTCATTTCAGTAGTATTAAATACATTTATAACTTTGTGCCACTGTCACCACCATCCATCTGTAACTCTTTATRTCTTGTAAAACTGAAGCTTTATCCATTAACAATAATTTCCTTCCTCCAGCCCCTGATAACCACCATTCTACTTTCTGTCTCTGTGATTGTGAGTTTCTAAGTACCTCGCATAAGTGAAGTCAGACAGCAGTAGTAGTCCCTTTTTTTCCTGATTGGCTTATTTCTTCTAGCATAATGTCCTCAAGGTTCATCCATGATCAGTGTGCTGTAGAATTTACTTCCTAAACAATGTTCCATTGTATGGATACACCAAATGTACTTGCTGTCAGTGAACACTGGGCTTGTTTCCATATGTTAGCTATTATAACTAATCCTGCTGTGAACATGGGCATACAGATATTTCTTTGAGACTGATTTCAGTTCTCTTGGGTATATGCTTAAAAGTGGAATTGCTGGATTATATGGTAATTCTATTTTTATGGAAATACGGTAATTCTGTTTTTACAATGTTTGAGGAACTGCCATATTCTTTTCTACTTTGGCTGTACCATTTTGTATTTTTACTAATAGTACATGAGGATTTCAGATTCTTCACATCTTCATCAGAGCTTACTGTTTCTGGGTTTTTTTTATTGTTGTTGTTTGTTTGTCATTTGTTTTTATTTTTTTTTTTGAGATAGGTCTTCCTGTTGTTCAAGCTAGCCTCAAACTCCTGAGTTCAAGTGATCTTCCAGCCTCAGCTTCCTGATTATTACAACTTAAGGCGTATATCATGGTGCCCAGTTCTATTTTCTGTTTTTTGGGTGGCTGCCATCCAATGGGTATGAGGTGGTGTGACATTGTAGTTTTGATTTGCGTTCCCCTAATGCTAGTGATGAGCATCTTTTAATATGCCCACTGGCCTTTCCCCCCTCCCCCATGGGGTGCTGGAGTTTGAACCAGGACTTCACTTGTGCTAGGCAAATGCTCTACCACTGAGCTACAGCCCCAGCCCCTGGACATTTTTGTATCTTCTTTGGCAATTGTCTATTCGATTCCTTTGCCCAATTTTAATCAATTTTAGAAATTCTCTATATATTCTAGATGATAACCCTTTATCAGGTTATGACTTACCTACAGTTTTCTTCCATTCTGTGGGTTACATTTTTTACTTTGTTGATAGTGTCTTTTGATGGACATTTAAAAAAATTTTCATGAAGTCCAACTTGTGTATTTTTCTTTTATTACTTTTGCCTGTGGTGTTACATCCAAGAAATTGCCAATCCAATGTCATGAAGCTTTGGCCTTATATTTTCTTAGAATTTTATTGTTTTATTTATTTATTCAGTTTTAGGTAGACATAATATCTTTATTTCATTTTTATGTGGTGCTGAGAAACGAACCCAGMGCCCCACAAATACCAGGCGAGCGCACTACCACTTGAGCCACATCCCCAGCCCCTGTTTTAGGTTTTACATTCTGATTTTTTAACCAGATCGAGTTAATTCTTATATATGGTGTTAGACAAAGGTTCAATTTTATTTCTTTGCACGTAGATATTYAGTTTTTTTCAGCCCAATTTTTAAAGACTGCCCTTTTCCCCATTGAATGATTGTGGACCAGGTACGGTAGTGCACACCTGTT